GCTCGGGTCTGGCTACCGAGAGGTGGGGGCGGGGAAAGGGAGGAGAGTTGGGGGTGCCGAGGGGCCCGCGCGAAGGGGGGCGGAATCGGTTTGAGGTGGGGTTTCTGAGCTTTCTCCCTGCGCCCGGCCCCCTGGCGCGGCCGGAGAAGGACGCGCCACCGAATGGCTAGGGAAGAGTGGACTTTGTTCATTAAAAAGAGAAAAGATTCAAATAGAAATGTAGGGCGATGAAAAAAACCTCTCATAATCATCGGACTCAAACATGGTTCACATCATAACATCCCCCCCTTCTAGCCTTTTCTATTTGCGTTATACAAACAGCCACATACAGTGCTGTGCCCTTCCCGCTGGGCGTTACACCATAAACGGCGTTCGTGGTGTTGCAGGCACTTTGAGAACATACAGTGATTACGTAAGAGGCCATTAAGCGGCTGTACCATAAATTATTAACCAATTCCTTCCATGTTTACCGTTTACTTAATTTCACCGTTGTAAATACGTTCGTGACTGACATTTTTGTGCGTAAGACTTTCCATATTGATGCTTTTCGTAAGAACATATTCCCAGGAATGGAATTTTAGGTCAAAGGATATGGATATTTTAAGGTTTCTGATAAATGTGCCAAATTGCTTTCCCGTTGGGTAAATTTCCTCTCCCATCATGGTGTGAGCATACATTATTCATTGCACCTTTCCTAGTATTTGAAGACTATCGTTATTTTTTTGCTGATTTCCTGGGTGTAATTGATAACTCCTTTCAGTTTTTATTTCTTTGATTTCACTAAGATACAGCAGTTTGCTAAATATTAACAAACTGTACTTCCCTTTTTTGTGACTTGTTCCCTAATCAGTTTTTCCTATTTTTTCTCAATTTGCATGACTTCTCTACATCTCAGAAGTTAACTCATTTCTTTAATATTTTGGTACGAATTTATCTTCAGGTTTTTTTGTTGGCCATGCACAGTCTTTTTTTCTTCTTCTTCACTAAAATGTAACCAAGTTTAATGTAGTCAAACTATACAATCCCTTTCTTTGAGACTTCTAATATAGTGCTAAATTTAGAGTCTTCTTGCCTCCGGAAGGTTATTAAATACTCAGTTCAAATTTTCTTTGATTTTTCTAATGCCTTGATTTTTTTCAAATCCAGCTGGATTAATTTTGCTCTTTGGTGCAGAGAGACGATATGAAATTTTTTTTAAAATTTTCTCCCCAGAGAGCTTGACAGTTAGGGCTGTATTTTTTCATCAGGACAGAGGTGTGTGAGCAGTATAAACACAAGCTCTGTGGTGGTGAGCTCCCAACTGCTGTTAAACTGATGAATGTGAGGACTGGGTGGGGCTGGGAATATTTTGACCAGCCTGTGTGGTGTGAAATCAAAAGAACCCTGAACAGGTTGTACAAAGACCTAGATTCAAGTCTCATTCCTGCCATGTCTAGGGTGTGTGGCTTCTGGCAAATCAGTTTACAAGTGTTTTCACTTGTAAAATGGAAAAAATAATCCCTGCCCTGCCTCCCTCTGAGGATTATTTTCAGGATCAAATGAGATAATAGGAACAGGCTTTGTCAGGCATTACACAAATGTAATGTGGGATTAGATCCAATGGTTTACTAACAGAGGCCTGGCTCGGTTCCAGCGATTTCCCCAGGGAAACAGCTAATACAGTACTGATGTTCCCCCTTGCAGCCCACTAAGTAAAGCATACCCTAAAGGCATTACTTCCTTGAACTTGCCCAGTCCCTTGTATTCTGCCTCACGTCCACCCAGACCAGGGATTGTTTAAGGCCCTCTTGAAGTCAGCCCAGAAGCTCCCAAGTCCTAAGGTGTCACCACAACTAGTTCTGCAGGTTTTGGTGCGGGATCCTTTCCTGACAGGCAGCCTTCCTCCTCCATCTCCGTGGAGGGCTCTTCACACAGTTTACTGATGAGGATTGGAAACCATTCCCCCTAGAGAGAGTGATTCTCATTTTCATTCTGATGGTACTTACTGGAGAATTTCAAGGGGAATGAAAATTAGGGGAGGGCTTATGGATTTCAGCAGAGCGAAATGGTAATTTTTTTCCTCCTCTCTGTAAGATGATGCCTGCCTATAAGTAGAGAAAGGCAGTTTTATGCTCCATTGACTTTAAACATTAATGGGGCTGGTGTTATTGTCTCTAACCCAGCATCCCTGGAAGTCGTTTTTGTCTTCTTGTCAGGGTAATTCCCATAGTGTTACTATAGGAAATGGAGCTTTGGGATGGCATTCTTTTAAAAACCTTCCCTTTGTAATGTTGCTGCGTGTGGAGATTGCTATGTAAATATGCCAGGAACTTGGATATTATACTATTCATTATAGAGATGAATTCATTACCGAAGACCAACTTCTCTGGAGAGCTCTGAGAGAGGGAAGTGCTGTGTTGGACCAGTGGGAGGCAGAGAAGTGCCCTGGATTAGGAATCAAAATACAAGATGCTAGAGAGGCTCAGATGCAATTAAAAGTAATGAGAGGGTATCACAAAGGGAAGCGATGAGAACTGTGTGCCTGGCACGCTGGCTGGCTGGCTGCCTGAAAAGAGACACAGAGGGTGTTCACAGTCACTGGTGGAAGGACACAGAATTCATCAATTTTCTGCATTAGTTTACACTGCATTGGAATCCTTCCACGTGGACTTTGTTTTCAGTCATTTGCAGTCCGAGACACCGGCTGGGATGAAGAAGGATGGACACTAGGTTTGGAATCCCACCTGGATCCAGTCACTTCATTCTTTCGTGCCTCAGATTCCGAATCTGTGAAAAGGTGGGAGGGGGTGGTAATCCCTTCTTTACAAAATTGTTATATTACCTGAGATACATAATGGAAGGCTTATCATGCAGACCCAGGGGGTGATATTAGAGTTAGGTTCTAGGGAATAGAAATAGTCTTAGTGATGTTCAAGTCCAAAAAAAGACAAATTCTATGCTGTGGTCCATCGGTGGATAAGTGTGCAAACTGTAGTACCATCTGCCGGAATATCAGTCATAAAAAAGAAATGAAGTGCTGGTGCGCTGCAACACTATGCTCAAAAACACTATGCTTAGTGAAAGGAGTCGGACACAAAAGGTCATGACTGTGATTCCATTCATATGAAATATCCAGAATAGGTAAATCCAGGGAGTCAGAAAGCAGATTCGTGTTTGCTTAGGTCTGGGGGCCTGGGTGGGGGAGGGTGACTGCTAATGGGCATGAGGTTTTCTTTTGGAGTGTTGAAATGCTTTGGAATTTGACAGAGGTGTACAACACTCTGGGTGTACTAAATGCCACTGAATTGTACACTTACAAATGGCTAATGTTGTGTAAATTTCACCTCAATAAGAAAATACTATGCTGTATCTGGTATTTGATCCAGCTCTTTCTTTCTTTGGCCTGGCCGGGTGTGGCTCAGCGGTTGAGCATTGATCTAGGATCCAGGAGATCAAGGTTCGATTCCCAGTCAGAAGCATGCAGGAGGCAGCCGATCAATGACTCATCATTGATGTTTCCCTCCCTCTCTCCT